GTGTGTGTGTGTGTGTGTGTGTGTGTGTGTGTGTGTGTGTGTGTGTGCGTGCGTGCGTGCGTGCCTGTGTGTGCATGCAAGAGAGGGGGTGTTCAAACAGGCACATGATGAGACATGCAGGACACATGTGCCGCTCAGATTGCATTCACTGTCAACTGACTAAGCACTGCTAAGAAATACTGCACCGATAGTTAAAAAGGTGGAGAGGGAGCACATGTGCAGACTGACATTTAATTTTCAAGGTTAAAAAAAACATAAAACAACAGTCGTTCACATCAGAAAATGGTACAAAAACATTAGTAGACAATCAATTCAAAATGTAAAATAATTTTTTTCTAAATACACAATTTGACGTTATTCTTTAGTTTATGCGGCAAAGTCAGCTATCATTCAGTGTATAGTAGCTGTATATGAAGCAGAAGTTTGCTCTTCATTTTATCACGAGTGTCCAGAAGAGTGTACAAACTGCAAAAAGTAAAAAATTGCTAAACCTAAACCTATTTTATTTTATTTTGATGTCTCTACATTGCGCGAAACTTTTGCCAACAATGACATCACAATATTTTCATCATCATTTTCCACTGAGGCAACAGACCATGATCCCAATTTTCACCAGACACATCAGCAATTTCAGACCTATGAGCTGAACATAGCTTCGACTTGCACCAAACAGCCCCCAGGATTTAAACATGACAACTGAAATCTGGTGATTTAGAGCTGGCTGAAAATAGTACTTTCACCCTTTGTGAAGTCAGACAGGTTAAGAACAGGCTGTGCAGAAGGAGAGCTTGGTTTTATAGGTTTAGGAGTTATACAAAAACCCGTGAAAGTCATGGAATATGCAAAATTACATTTACAGATATTAAAATTCTTATATGTACATACATGAATATTTGAAATACTTGAGGTATTAAATCAATCCTTCAAGCTTTTTGAATGGCAGTGTTTCATATATGGTAAAAACATTAATATATGGATCACACCTTTAATACGTAAACAAGTTGTTTTTCTTTTTTAAATCACAACTTTAAATCCTGTCCTCTCTGCCTCAGTTATGATTTCGCCCATGTCTGTGACACAGATGTCAGAGTCAGGGAGCCGTGGTCAAACAGTTTATAAGGCAGAGTCCCTTTAGACGTCCAAATGTCCGTCTTTGCGTCGTAGCACTCAAATGTGTCAGAGTCCTCAATGACATCATGGCCATTGATGTAGCGTCCGCCTGTGATGTAGAGTTTGTTGTTGAGGACGGTGGCAGAGTGGTGCATCCTCCTCTCCTTCAGGTTGGCACATTTAATGAACCGGTTGGCCTTGGTGTCGTATGCAATCATTCTCCTGGTGTATCCTGTGACAGGGAAGACATTAATATGAGAGAAGCAGCACGTGTGGTGATGTAGCTGCACAATCTGATTCATCAAGAAATCCATCAACACTAATGAATTAAGGAAAGAAAAAAAAAGTTCTCTCCTTTTCTTTTTTGTGCATGCTTTAAAAATTCATTTTCAAATGTGCTATGTAAAATTTTAAAGCATACAAATCTTATTAACCTCATTCTTTTGGTATTTATCACAGTCTCACAATTTACTATCTACCTCCAATGATATAGATCTTTTCATCCATAACGACAGCAGGAGCAGACACGTTTTTCACCGTTCTGTTCTCCATCTTAGACCACATATTCCTGGCGATGTGATACACCTGCAGAGTGGGACAGGAGAGCAGAGGTGAGGGGAAATATAATGGGCGAGAAAGGGTAGACAGAGGAAAACAAACATGACTGTACCTGTATTATTCTGACTGGGTTCTGCATGGCATCCTCTCCTCCAAACATATAGATCCTCTGGTTGGTCGCAGCCACAGCAGGGTGCAGTACGGCCTCAGGCATCGGTGCCATCGACTCCCACTGGTTGAACATGCTGTTGTACCTGATGATAGCATTGAGAGATAGTTTCATTCCCTATATGCTGCAGCACACAAACACTCCCAACAGAATTTCTTGACAGAAGATCGCACCTCTCCACGCTGTCTGTCAGTCGTCTGTCAGGTCCAAGGCCACCCAGTACAAAGATGAAGTGGAGGTAGGAGACGCTCTGATGGGCAAAGCGTGGCTCCAGCATGGGTTCTGCTGTCCGCCACTGGTTGGTCTTAAGGGAGAGCGTGTAGACGGTTGTGCTCACTTCGCAGTGCTTTGCACTTGTGGTCAGGCCTCCGATAACGTACAGGATGCTGTGAAGGGCGACATAGGAGGCTTTGTAAAGACGAACAGGCAGCTTGGAAAGAGACTGCCAGCTCTGGCTCTTCTCATCAAACACTAGGGCCTCCCTCGAAGTCTGCTCGTTGTTCTTTCTCCCTCCCACCACCACCAATGTATCGTGGTAGGTGTAGCGCCTCGGTGCAACCCAGAGAGGTTTGAAGCCCACCGCCGTATCTCCAATGCATTTTGTGCTGACAGAAAACATGAGGCGTCTCACAGATTCGATGAGTTCAGTACAGAGGGTGGACGACTGGATCAGGGGGTCGTTGGCTATGAACTGGAAGAGGTAGGTGGGGTGGATGTATCGAAGGCGAACTTTCTTAAAAAGGTCACTTATGGAACCACGCCTGGATAAAGGATCATGATGGATCCAAGCAACAAGTGTCTCAAAGACCTGCTCCTCCTCTGCACAAAGACCATCGTCCTCCAGGTATCCCATGAGCTCCGGCAAGGAGAGCTCACACATATCCTCAGAAGCTGACACATCGGAAAAGCTCTTCATTGCCATCTCTTTTGCTTTGTCTCTCAAACTGTTGCAATTCATAATCTCCGAAAGTCTTATCATGCTTAAACAGTTGTCTGGACTCAGCTGCTCCTGAAGGAAGCTCGAGCAGGCCTCAAAAAGGCGGCCATATTGCAACATGGATGCCGCCTGCATCAGAGGGAGCACAATATCCATGGTGATACTGATGAGTCCTGTGTAAACATAGTCAATGATGCTGCTCAGGATGGCTGACGTGATGCCCTTTAGGTCAATCTTGGTTTGCTGCCTCTCCATGAAGTTGTTGCAGAACATGGCTCTGAAGTAGGGGCTGCTGGAGACCAAGACGTTCCGATGGCAGGGGATCACGGTGTTATCTGAGCACAGCAGCACATCGGTCAGAACATTCTCTTGCCGCAGTCTGTTGAGCTGTAGGAGCAGGTTGGAGGACTGCTCTTTGTCTTTGTAGTGGAAGACCTCAACTGCTGGTCGATCCATGCTGACAAGAAACCGAGTTGTTAATGTCAAGCCATTGTAATTTATAAATGTGTCTGTTTTTTAAAAAAAAAATTAATTCTCAACTTGCACACACAAATTTGTAATTTTAAGCCTTTAATGTAATGTAATTTAAGCCTTTTAGTGACATGATTGTTCATTTTCTGTGTGATCATATATATCAGCTGTCCACAGAGAGCGTAGTAGCAGCTCTAGTTTGATGAGGAATCTAGCTTAACAAAACTGGATTAGATATCAGATGACTGTAGTCTTTTTTGCTTATATTAATGGATGAATGGACTAAGGACTTTATGAGATATTTTAGAATTAGTTATTACCCTTACAGTAAACTATCCAGGGTCATTTACTAAGTCGAAAGTCAAACACGTTTGGTACAGTCCTGTGGCTTGCATCTGAAATTAACCTGCAAATATTCACTAAAAGCTTCCCCTAAAGTCCACACTCCAATTATTTGCAAACTGTTCTACTCTTTACTGTAACATTATATTTGTCATTATATAGTTTCATGTCATTGTCTTTGGCACATGGATCACATTCAGCGCTGTGGTGACTACAGTAATCCTGTCTGATCATTTTGGAGACCAATCATCTAAAGAGGTTTCTGCTTCAACACCTGCACAACTATTTTTGTTGCTGCCGCATCATTGTCATGAGACCTGTGATGCTGTTGTTGTTTTGTTGTGTGGAAAAAATTCCATATGCAGTTTCCAGAAGGTTTTAGAAGGGTTTTTTTTGTCTTTTAAAGTTTGCTAAATGTGGTTGCAGCTTTTCTGTTCCATTTCGTGCATTAGATATGCAAAGTGTGCAAAAATGTGTTAGTCTGCATTTAAAGCAACAGAATACAAAACATTAAACTTGTCAGATGATTGTACACATGACGTAGCTTAAGAATAAAACATGGCACAGCATATTGTGGGTTAATATTTACATCAGATTTATTAGATTATGCCCGCATCAAATAATCAAATCCAAAGCTCCTCGCAGCCCATGAAGTGAAGCTTTACTGGAATGCTTCTCTTACCTGCTCCTCTTCTCTCTCTTTATCTGTTTTCTTGGGGGGTCCCGCTGAATTCAAAGTAAGTTCTCAGCAGAAAATGTGATGCCTTGACATTTTCCTGTTCTTTCTTCCTCTTTCCTCCCGTGTTGATGCTGTGTGACTGTATGTTCCTCTCTCTTTGTAGCAGCGTGTTGCGTTCTGTTTGTTGTTATGGTCTCTTTCCACGAGGCCTGTGTGAACATTCCTCCCCTAAAAATAGAGCCTCTCTTTGGCAACACTGCTGCAGACTCACATGTGACATGTTATGGAGCTTTCCTCAGTATCTGTCTGACTCCATCACTTAATCTTTATCTTCTCGTCTACATTTTTCTTTCTTCCCCTTTTCCCTCTTATATCATACTCTTCCTCCATTCCCTCCGCCCACACGAGACTTCTCTTTTTCTGCACTATAGCGTTGCATTCCTATTCACTCCATCATCTCTATCTCTGTCTGGCACATGATTGTAGCAGTAAAAACAGCGCTGATACTTGATAACACCAATTTTGTTGGCCGCTCACGCTGCCAACTGGCTGGTGGAACACACAGTGATATAAAAACAGGATTATGTTACTGTAGAAGCAACATAAACACGGAGATATGAGGGGGTCGGCATTCAGGAAAAAGGAACAACCGCATGTAAGCCACTTTGGCCACAACTACTGACATTACAAACAAGTCACCACAAGTTCAGTGAAATGGGTTCAGGTTTGCATCACATCAGCAGGAGGCTCAGGCTTAATGGAGAAAAATGAGAGGAGTTTTGCTCCGGCTGTGATGTGATGTTTGGCTTCAGTTTTGCAGACGGAAAGCATCTTTTTCAGCGTGAAGAAATTATCTTAATTTAACTATACGTCAACAACAGATGCTTGCATTTCCTATCTTTGTGTTTCTTTAAGCTCATTTCCATCTCATTTCTTTCATGCTCCCTGAGACAGATAACACTTTTATGGAGTACATCCCACAAGGTGGCAACATGATTGTTGCCCGTTCCTTAAAGCTGGAGAAGAATCAAAGCTTGCGGGGTTGTTTCTTAAATGTGGGCACATGAAAACAACAAAACTAAAAGGCGTATTCAGTCATCACAGATACCGATGTGCTGTGTTTTTCTTGTACTCTTGCTTGTTTACAGAGCTTGGCAAATCAGACACAAATTGCTGCTTGAGCCACCACCACCACTTGAGAGTAGTTCGATGCGGATTGCACAACAAAATCACCAGCTACGACCATAAAACACTTGTGCTTACTGGCCATCTGTGTTGACAGTTTGTTATTTTGTTGTTTGTGGACTACACTACATCAAATTCAAGCACCGACACCTCTAACAATGATGCATCAGGTACACAGTTATTGCAGGGGGAAAAAAAAGGCAAATGTAGGTGTAATAATAACAGCTGAAGAACCAGAGTTACTTTCACATTACAAGCTGTCGCAACCAAACAGCGACATCTAGTGGTTCTGTCAATGAAAACTCAACTTGGTAATTAGTGAAAAACCAATTCCCTTTTTAATTATTTTCCTACGTATCTTTGACTTTTTTGCATGCCAATAGGGGTTTATTTAAAAGGGGAAAAAAAGCAACTTGGTAAATTGTTGTTTATACCTGCTGGACAGTGCTGACTGTATCATGCAGCAAAATGTCAAAAAATTAATATCTGCCCTTTTTCCATGGCACTGACATTCAAATTGTCTCATCGATCTGTATAGTCAAGGGCAAAAGCTTAACTTGTTTGCCCAGAAGACTGCAGTGTCATTTTATCAGCCGCACTCTCATATTCAGCGCTGTGATTGCATCCTTTAAAGTTAAGCACATTGTCTGCTATCTCTGTTCCTTCACCTTGACAAAAAGGACTCATTAATGTCTGCCTGTAGGCAACAAGTTATATTAAAAGTTAAGGCTTTGGTGCACACTTTGCAGCAGCATTTTCATACAGCAGCAGAACTGTTGCCACCCACCGCCCCGGTGCTGTGTCTTCATATCACCGAAATGATTATCTTCTCATAAGCACATGGGCTAATAGAGCCTATACCCAGGGGATTTAGATCTCACGATTAGTATTGTGTTTGTGTTAGTGCGTGTTAGTGCATGTGTGTGTGTGTGTGTGTGTGTGTGTGTGTGTGTGTGTGTGTGTGTGTGTGTGTGTGTGTGAAGGGCAGCAAGCTCTCCTTGGTCAAATAAAAGACTATTTGAAGGCAATATGGACAGTGAGTTCATTCTATTTTCTGTTCCGTACCTGACTTTATTTGACTACACTCCATTCAGTGCAGGACTGTAGGCAATATTTTGTTTTGCATAAGAAAACCCTTCCTGATTTTATTCCATCATACTTGACCCTGAAAAGTGAGCAGTACTGAAATTACGTAAAAGGTTCTGGGATACACGGGCCAAAGAAAACACAGACCACTGGCTATAAATAAGGGAAAAGAGGAGCACTCATCCTTATACAAGCCCAAATAATGATTCTCTTTCATCTGTGTTTGCTCAATTAAGGCATTTTTTATTAAATCAATGTAAGAGTGAAAGTCACCAGGGGTTAGACCATGGTCTTCCATGGAAGAGTTAGAATAAGAAGGTATACTGCAGTCAAATTATGATTGTTGTTCTTTTATTTTGTTTTTTTGTTTAATTTATTTATTTTTTAGATTTTTGCACTAAAACCACTCCAAACAGCACTCTGTTCAGCTCGATCCAGTATCAATCAATTGCAAGTTACTTCCCAGAATCTCTCCCTTGTTGTTCTGTTCAGGCTTGGTCTGAAGTACACTGGACTGTCACTCTGTCATGTCTGTTTAGATAGCTAGCCCTGGTGCTGGGGCACTGATTCTGCGCTTGACTGAGCTCGCTGAGATGTACAGCCCAAACAAGCTCCGCTTCGACAGCGGAGTCAAACTATGCTCGCTGGGTACCTGCGATTTGTGCCACTGACACTGTCATGAAATGATTCATGAAGAGAGACGGATTACTATTTGAGCTATGCGATGTCGAAAAGCTTTATAAACACCCAAAGTTGAGCGACAAATCACTATTTGGGTTCTAAAAGCATTTCACTTTACAATGTTTACAATTGCAGTTCTTTTTGATTTGCAGTCCATCTGGTTGTTGGTCATCACACTAAGAACTTTACAAAAATACAACTACCAGATATATTGATCACTGGGAGCATGAAATGGGCTTTAAACAGCTACTTTGTCCTGAATACAACAGACATACAACTCAAGCAACCTGTGTGCTGCTGTAGTCATGTGATGCAAATTTGTACATACGTATTGGCTCTTGACTTACAAATCATGTCTTGTACATGCATGCATAATGTTCTGTTAATGCCTTGTGCATTTGCATGTCATTTTTAATGCAGTGTATTAATGGTGGACTGGCGATGGAAAAAGAGAACGCTCAAGCGTGTAAATGCATGGGAAGGCTGAGACAGAAAAAGGCCAAAAATGAATTAAAAAATGGGTTTTGATATGATAAAAATCTAGCAATAAAAAATGTAGTCTTATAATTTTTACATTACATGGCCCTCTTCTTATGTCCAGCTTCATTTTCAATGAAATAGTTACTGCTTTTTCAGTGATGATCATTTGTAGGTGGTGACTGTTCTGCTATGTACTATGGTCTGGCTAAGCAAGACTAGTCACTTTAGACCTTTAAATGAGTGTTAAATGACCAGGTTGACTGGTATGAACATAACAAAACATTCATATCCCATTTGCAAATTAAACATCAGTCCAAATGAAATGTTGAAGGTGTAGTTGGAGTGTTATACTACACTTAATATCGTGAATGACAGCCCTGACATTCATACTGCAACTGAGTCAGGAAGTGATTATTGATTTTAAGAAGACAGATGGAGATTTGAAATACATTTGTAGTGTCTTACTCCTTTCAGACCGTCACAGTATCCACTAGGTGTCAGGACAATGTTATGCAAATTTCCGTGGTAAAAAGCTGACTTTGTCCCCTGCGACTTCTCCGAAGGCACCAAGGCTAAACTCACAGTCAGTAACAGATGCATTAACTGGTGAGATGAGAATTGCTCCCCTATTTTCTTTTCCACTATTTATAGGCCAGCACAATAGAACATTCTCTATAAATACAAAGAAAGAAATGAGGCTATTAATCCTCTGAGATATCTTGAAATTGTTTTTATTTATTTATTTATTTTTTTACAGTTGCAAACATGCATTTATGGTGTGAAACAGACACAGATAGCCAAGACAATTGAAACAGACAGTGGGAATCGTGTGATAACCTCTTGAGTCAATCCGCCGTGGGGTATCACTCCCAGGTGCAAAGAGATCCACGCCGAGCAACAGTGGGAGCCGTAATCTGGCTTTGATGGAGACACGTCCACATGTAAATCAACAAAGAGTGCAGAGAAGGGGAGAGTTTGAGGAGAAGCCTGCAGAGACACACACAGAGACAAGGGGGGGGTTGTGGTGCAAAAGTAAGTGTGTGTTTCTATACGTACGCACGTGCTCAAGCTGGGATGAGGTCTTAAAGGGCTTATAGTTTAGCTGCTTAAAATTCTTCTGATGTAAGCAACACATGCAGGACATGTTATTTGAGAATAAAAAAGAGCATTGTAGCAACA